CCCTCCCCATGGAGCTCTTCCCTCCCTCCCCGTGGAGCTCTTCCCTCCCTCCCCATGGAGCCCTTCCCTCCCTCCCCATCCACCAGCCAGGGAGGGAAGGAGCAGGTTTGGGTTGTGCAGCACCCAGAGGGTGAGTCCGGGGCTGGGACCGCAGCTCGGAGGGGTTGCTCGGAGTTTGGTTCTCTGCTCACCAAGAGTTACTGAGGGAAAGGAGTGATGGGGAGCTTGCAGACATGGTTTTAAAGGCAGCTCTGGCCCATGTTTCCACAGGAGGAGAAACAGCAAACGAAACACAACCCCAAACACGAGGCTGTGAAAGCCCGGCCCTGGCACCCCGCGCTGCGGGACAGGCAGGGCAGGTCCCTGCCAGGTTCCAGGCAGGAGCGAGGACATCCGAACACAGCTCGTGCTTCAAATGCCGCCTTAATCCCAGCTTTCATCCTCCCCGCCCGCTTTTCCACAGGGTGGGAACACCGGCAAAACACCGCCTGGAGCCTCTCAAGCAGCCCCCTGCAGCCCACTGCATCTCCAGAGGATATCACCTGCCGGTTGGATGTCTGTGTTTGGAGGGGGTGACTGGCTGTCTGGAAGGTCCTCTCTGCCCTGGCTGCCTGCTGGGCAGGGAAAACACCGGCTCCAACAGGACACCTGAGTTTGCAGACAGCCAAATTTCAGAGAACCTTTATAAAAGGTGGCATGGAGAGATCCTCAAATGAACAGTAGAATGGGAATCAGACATAGCACAGGGTCTGTGGCAGAAGGAGCAACAGAACAGGAACCTCTTGTCCCATTTCCCCCCCCTAACCCGAAGATCTTTGCCTCAATGCACAACAGTCTTCCTGGCACTGTGTGTTGCTGGGCTTGGCTTTCACAGAAGATGCTCATTTGAGGCAAAGCCACGTGCCCTTATTTATTTTATGCCCAGCTCCAAACCCAAGCAGAAAAGAACAGATCCCTCACCAAGGACACGGAACCAGATTGGTGCTGGGGGGGCTTGTTTGTTTATTTTGCAGCGAGCAACTAATTGATCGCTGGCTGAAGCCGAGAAATGAGATGGGGATGTTTTCACTTTGTTTGCAGTGGCGTTACCTCCACGGAAACTCAATCCAGACTTGACCACACTCCCTGCTATTTCTTCACCCTCCTCCCCCCCACACCCTCCTCGCCTCATTTTTAACACCCTTCACAAAATCCAAAGGTTAAAAGGTCCACAAAAAAAACCATGTTATCTGTCAAGCATCCCCTGTGGTTGGAGATCAGTGGCATTATCTCAGCCGCCTCTCCCACTGCTCTCAGCTCCTACTCAGCACGACCAGTGGTCCTGGTGGGAGAGTCCCCCAGCGAGGCAGGACCTAACGCCAGAAACTTCATTAAGTGGCTCATGTGAGCTGTTCAAGTGTGTGCCTTTCCTTTGGTATCAATGAGGAGACGAAAAACCCACAAAACCGAGCCTAAATCACGCGTATTTTGGAAAGAAGACGGAGACACATTGTTAGCACAAGCCTCTAGTACACACACTCGAAATCAATGAATGCCTGGGGAACTGCAGCGCCCGCTGCTCTTTAAACAGCTTTACAGCAGTTGTACAAGCTGTAAGAGACCAGCAATGCCCAGAAAAACGTGAAAAATGCAGAGAGACAGCCAGGTACTTACATCCATTTTATCCCGTAGCAAAGCCCCGTCTGCAGAATCAGCGACAGAAAACCGGCGAAGAAAAATCGCAGACTTGGCTTCATTTTCTCCACCTTCCCCCTCTTGCCGAGGGAAATCGGCTTCTCCAAGGAAAAATTAAAAAAAAAATTTAAAAAAAGGAGTTTTCTAGTGTATTTCCCTTCAGTCTGAGTATTGCTTGTTCTTGGAGATGAACAACCTGAAAGGAGAGGGAGAGAAAGAGCCCGAGCTACGTTAACTCTGCAGTTCAGCGAGTCGTGGCCAGAGAGAAATCCATCACCCCGATTGCAAAGGAGTGGTTTATGAATCACGAAAAAATTTGGATTATCCCCTCTCAGTCCCCTCCCTTGCCAAGCCTCGATACAACCTTCGAGTCAACAGACAGACAACCCGTATGGCTTGAATTACCCCCTGAGTTATGGTCTGATTGTGTGTTTCCATTTAACCCTGCACATGGCAAGACTTCATTCGCTGCTTCACTTTAGGGGGTTTTTTTAATCCCCCTCTCCAAAAGGTCTGTGCGACTGCTCGGGAAAAAGGAAAAAAAAAAAAGATAAATCTTTAGACTAGCTCGAATCTTCAGCTATTCATCTCTCCCCTCCCTCTCTCCATATTTCTTTTTCCCCCTCTTTTTCTTTTTTGCAGAGAAGACAAATTATGAAAACTGCCTTTCCCGGCTCAATGCAGGTGCCCGTGCCCTGCAGATGTTTCGCTCTGATCTGTTACAACAAATGTGTTTTGCTCTTTCCCTTCTGCTTTCCTTCTCACCTCATTAACTCTGCCTCTCACTCCTTCCAAGTCCTCGGGCACCTGGAGCTCACGGGGAAGGCTGCAACTTCGCAAACATAAAATCCCATTTCTGTCTCCGGGGAGCAGCCGGGAGGAGACAAGAAAGCTCCCCCCTCCTTTTCTTTCTGTTGTTTTGCCCTTCCTCAGACCAAACAAATAAACAAACCAGGTGCAGGGCTTAAAATTCTTAGAGGGGTCCTGACTGTCTCCGGGGCACGGCTTGCTTATTTTAGCAGCGGTATTAATAGCAGTAAATGGGTTTCCCTTCAGTTATTCACTTCAGACACGGCTCCGGGCTGCTTTTTGTGGTCTTTGTGGTGGATTCCCACCCCGCGAGAAAGCCAAGAATAAAATAAACAGCAAAACCTGCCCACCACATCGCAGCTCTGGAGTCCCAGCCCATCTCCTGGCACACTGGCACAGCCAAGGTGGGACTGTTTATGCTCCCTCAGAGGGGTCTGGGGAGGCACTGGGGGTTGCAGGAGCAGCCAGAACCACTTTGGGGTTTACCCTTGCCCGGGAAAAAGAACATCCTACCCCACCCCCACCTCTGGATTCGCCCAACTGCAGCTTTCTGCCTCAGTATCCGCGTTCGGGGAGCAATTGGGTGGGGGGCAAGGAATATTTCTGGGTGTTTTCTCTGCCATCTGCAGCACATTTTGCCGTTCAGGCTGCTTTTTGGCTCTCCCAGCCCCGGTGCCTGGTGTAAAGGGTTACTGGAGAAGTGCTGTTATTACAAAGGATTTTAATAACCTCTAGGGGCGAGTTCCCGGCTCCCTTGAAGTCCGAGACAGCGCTGCTGCCTACAAGGGAGGCAGGATTTCATTGCCACGGGTTGTTTTTCTTTCGTGCCCGCCTGGATTTGGGTTTGCTGCGTCCCTCGGAGGCAGCGCTCCCATGAGCACCCCGGCACACACACTTCTGCTTTCAGAGTATTTCTGGATCTTTTAATCTCTGGGAGCTCTTTTCTTCCCACCCTTCCACGGGCACACTGGAAACCTTCATCCCTTAATCCTGCCCATGCCTTTCAGTGCCCGTTTAGATATTTCAGACCCCTTATCTCTCTCCCGTGAACTGCTGCACAATTGGGTGTAAAGTGTCTCAGATTTTACTCTCACTAGACCTGACCAGCCAACGCCACTCTCTGCTTTCCCCCCTGCCTCGAAAAAGTCACGGTTTGGGTTTTTTTCCAACCCCTGGAGGGGAAGAGAAATGATCTAACCCCCCCATCCCCACCCAGCAAGAGCTGCAAGAGCTGCAAGCTTGGCCTGAAATTGCACCCCTGTTATTTGGGGAGGTAATAATGCTTTTTTCCACTCGGTCCAGCACAGGTTACATTTGCAAGAGGAATTTGCAAGGGGAGGGGAGGGAGACTCTGGGGCAGACGTGATGTTTACAGCTCCGGAGAGCTCCGGGTCACTGATCAAACCAGCAGCAAGTGGCCCGCGGGCTCCTGAAAAGCGGAGCCGTTTTTCACTCAAAGCTCTTTCCCCTTCGCCCCCAAGGCTGTTTGCAGCCAGTCCCACTCCCGCACGCAGAAAACGCTCCCATCCCACACCTCCGGGAGCCCGGACTCGGGGATGGGAACAGGCGAATTGAACCGGTTATATAAACCTGTGAGTATCCAGCTCACATTTATCCAGCTCACATTTTTCCAGCTCTCCCCCCCAGAAGGAAAGACATCCATCCACCTGCCCCGTGCTGCCAGGCAGCGGCTCCCCAGGAGCGCAGGAGCCCGGGCTGGGGGCAGCACATCCCCAAATGACCTGCGGGGAGGACCGGGAGCAGGGGAGGAACAGGGGACGCTGGAGTTGATTCCAGCTCCGAGCGCCTCCCGTCTCTTGCAGCCCCTCCGCATGTCCCTTCTCCTCCGCAGCCCCCGGGTGTCCCCGCTCCCCTGCAGCCTCCCGCTCTCCACGGCCGCTCCTGCCATCTCCCCGCACACTCACAGCCCCGAGTCTCCCCTCTCCCGTCAGCCGGGGGGTTCCCCGTCCCCCCTTGCAACTCTCGAGTCTCCCCTGCAGCTCATCGGTCTCGGAGCTCTCTACACCCTCCGAGTCTCCTTCTCCCTCGGGTCCTCCGCTCTCTCCCGCACGCACACTCCCCCTGCCCGGCTCCCAGGGCTCCGAGGCAGCCTCCGAGTCTCCTTCCTCCTCGCACCCTCCCTGCCATCCCCCGGGTCTCCCCGCCATCCCCCGGGTCCCCCCGCCTCCTTGCATGCCCGCGGGTCTCCCCTAGTTCTCCCCCGCAGTCTCCAGTCCTCCTCTCTCCCTCGCACCCCGCGGGCTCTCCCTGCTCTCGCGCATCCCTCGGGATGCATCCCCTCCCCTTGCGATCCTCCCGCTCCCCGCAAACCTCTGTTCCTGGCCACCCCCGCCCCTCGGGCGTTCCGGGGGGCTCCGCGGGGCCCCCGTCCCGTCCCCGCTCTCCCGGCACCGCCGCTCCCTCCCCGCTCCGCTCCGCGCTCACCTCCGCCCGGGCCGGGCTGCGCGGGGGCCGGGGCCGCTCTGCCGGGGCGGCCCCCGGAGCCGCCTTATATGCGGCCCCCTCGGCTTTGATATGCGGCGTGATGTCAGCCCGGATTAGCATAACAAAAGGCCCCGCGCCCGCGGATCCCCCCCGGGGCTTCCTCCGCATCCCCTCCCCGCTCCATCCCCGGATCCCCCCGCGGGGCTCCCTCCACATCCCCCCCTGCTCCATCCCCGATCCCCCCGCGGGGCTCCTCATACCTCCCCGGCTCCATTCCCGTATCCCCTCCCCGCTCCATCCCCGCATCCCCTCCCCGCTCCATCCCCGAATCCCCCCCGGCTCCATCCCCACATCCCCCTCGGCTCCATCCCCGGATCCCCCCCGGCTCCATCTCCGAATCCCCCCCGGCTCCATCTCCGAATCCCCCCTGGCTCCATCTCCGAATCCCCCTCGGCTCCATCCCCGAATCCCTCCCGGCTCCATCCCCGGATCCCCCCCGGCTCCATCCCCGCATCCCGTGCCCCGCTCCATCCCCGCACACCCCCCGCAGCGCGGCCGTGGGACCCCGGGGCGTCATTATTCTAATGAGAGGTTAATTAATGATTATTTAATTAATTATTGGAGGTTAATTAACCTAACAGTCGGCAGCCAACACTGTGAGGTGGTGCTTTCCCGGGAAGGCGCGAACGCAGCGCTCCCTGAGCTGCCTTCGGCTGGTGGAGAGGAAAGATGCTGAGCTCGGGGTTTTGCTTTCAGGTCGGTTTTGGGGTTGGAGGCTTCGTGACTGCCCGCTGGAGAGAGAGGAAGGGAAATAAAGACGGAAAAGGGAAGAAAGGAAAGGAGGAAAAAACAAAAAGGAGAAGAGAAGAGAGAGAAGAGAGAGAGAGAAGAGAGAAGAGAAGGAGAAGGAAAAGGAAGAAGAGAAAAAAGATTGAGAAAAGGAAATGGGGGGGAAAAAAAGAAAAAAATAAAAATGAAAAGAAAATAGGAGAAAGGAAAAAGAGATGAGGAAAAGAGAAAAGGAAAAAAGGAGGAGAAAGAAAGGGGGAAATGATAAGGGGAAAGAGAAAAGAATAAAAGGAAGATTGAAATATTTAAAAGGAGAAAGATGAATAAAAAGGAAAAGGAAAAATGAAAAAAAAAGAAAAGGAGAAGAAAAAAGGCAAGACAAATAGAAAAGAAAAAATAAGGGGAAAAATGAAAAGGAAAAGATAAAAGGAAAATAAAATCAAAAGGAAAAAATAGAAGTAGATAAAACATAAAAAAAGATAAAACCCTGTGAGAAGGAAAAGCACAAGTGGCTTCTTCACCTGACGCCTCCTGAGTGTGAGTTTCAGAGCTCTGTGTCTGCTCTGGGCTCTCAACAAAGGGGTGCTGGGTGCAAAAGTCCCGGGGTCATTGTTTTCAGCAGGTTTACAAGAAGTTTCCTGAAGGCCTGTTCCCAGGGCAGCTCTTTCTGTAGGATAACATTGCTCTGTACGTGTCCCTGTGCCATTGCAACCATACCCACATGGTCCTGTGGGAGCTGCAGAGAGCCCTGGATACCCACTCCCAAACTCCCAGAGCCACTCTGTGACTTGTTCCAGGCCCAGCTTTGCCAGCAGCCTGGCCCAGCATGTCCATTTTTCTCCGTGTGGCAGCAGCCCAGGGGTGCTCAGACTGCTCTGAGCTCCCATTTCCCCCCTCCCAGAAATGTGCACCCACGGCAGGAGGTTCTGACAGGGCTCTCCAAGGAGGAGTTACTGACGTGGGGAAATGTCCTGCCATACCCACTGCAGCCTGTGCAGATGCTGTGATTGCTGGATAAATTGCTTTTTTCCACATTACCTTCACCTTTAAGGGGCTGCAGGGAAAATGCAGTTGTTGTTAACCAGTGGGAGCAGGAGCTGTCAGTAGCAGGGGTTGGAACACTCAGGATTGTGCAGCAGGCACCTGCTGTGCTCAGGGCTGTGCAAACAGCACAGCAAGGGCAGCCCTGCCACCACATCTGCATCATCTGAACGCTGGGGCTGAGAGGGGAGAGGCCAAACACCATCTTCAGACACAGCTGAATATTTATATACCTATAAATATCAATAACTTGGAGCCTGTGGCCATTTACTGGCCTGATGCACAACTGGAATGTAAAACTAAGCTCCATCACCCACAGCTAAGCTCCATTATCCACACTCTGCATCAGGAAACATCTCTGTTAAATCCCCCAAGCCCTGCATGGACTTTGCTGAGTGGGTTTTTTTTGGTGAGAAATGACAAATAATAATACATTATATGTCAGTGACAAGGTCTGTGCCCTTGACCCTATTTATTTACTACTTTAGGCAGGTACAAGTCTTTCACTGGATCTCTGTGTTTCAATTTCAAGCATTGATAGGGCCTTTTTTCACTCCTAAATGCTCCTCCACCCACTAAAAATAAGCCAAATTATTATCATACGAATTTTGAATGTTCAGGACATGCTTTATTTTCTGACAAGGGACAACAAGCGAAGGCTGTTTGATGCTAAAATCATTTGCACGGTGCTGAAGAGCAGGAGCAGATATAAAAAAAGTAAGGGCCCAGAAACTGGAGTTCCTCCAACTTAAGTGAGGAATAGGAGTGCTTAAGGAGCACTTCTTTGGGCTGCTCACTGGCACTGCTGAGGGGTAAATACATATACATTTACATATAGCAGCATTTT